CTTTTCAGCAGTTTAATTCTCTGTCTGTGGTTTTTGAGATATGGACAAGTGGAATAAAGATGCACTTACTTATTTATTAACATTTGGCATTAGTAACATGAAAAGACTAGAACTAAGATTATTTTAATTTTGTTATGGTGATGAAAAAAAACAAAAACATAACAAGCATTTTTTCCATTATGGATGTACTTTTATATTGTAATAAAAACTTCCTCTCTTGATTATGTGACTGAAGTGTTTTATGTCTTTTGAAAATGATTGAATATGGAAACAGTTATGGTGCTTTTGTAATCACGGAGAGCACCTAAAACCCTTGAACTATAAGGCTCATTTAGTAATTTCCACACATATTCACACACTTATTTGCAAATTGATGATTCCTGCAAGACTCAACTTGGGCAAAAAAGTCAACAAAAACAGAGGCTGGTCAGAAACAATTGGAGCAAAATAGCTTAGCTGCTAGGCAAGGTAGAACAAGAGGCTGGAACGCTTAACACCAGTGACAAAGACGAACTGGGAAAGAAAGCTGCAGGGGGATAGGTAAGGTAATTGACAGGAAGACACCTGTGAGCAGTGTCAGGGAGGCTGATTAAAGGGGAATGCCAGGAAGTAAAGAAGTCTGAAAATAGAACAGAAATTAATGCACCAAAATAAAACAGGAAGTTAAAGAAAACAACTGAGCCAGACACAAAATGACAAAAGGAAAAGAAAAAAAAACAAAACTAATCAGTTGAGCTGCATGTGGCAGTTGTCAAGGCCTGCAATAAGTTAAAAGTGACACCCTGATATTTTTTCCTACCATTTTTGAGGTACAATATTTTTTTTACCATTTTGAATAATAAAAAAAAAAACCGCCAAGAAATCTGCCTTGACTGGGATGGATAATTGTGAGAGGAAAACACACAAAGCAATCATCAAAATACTTTAAAACTTAAATTACATAATTACATTGGCTACTGTTTTCACACCTTTGAAACATGGGGTGCTAGTTATTCTTGGTAACACTGTGGTTATAGTTATTCCTGAGGCTGGTCCCAAAGAACAGTTGGAAGAATTCCTGCAGGTGACAAAGGTTTGCTAAAGTTTTGTAGGGTTTTAGCAACATGTGAGTTATTAAACCTGAGCTACAGTGCACGGAAACAGGAGTGAAATGTTCGTTCTTTGCAATTAGAAATCTGAAAGATGTGTTGAAAAATTATATTTCAGCCCTCTTACTTTTTCATAAGCCATTTGAACCGACTATCCTCAGAAGTCAGCTAATTACTCAACAGAATCTAGCTTGGTGTTACTTGCTCTCATATAGATTAGAGATTAAGTTATTCTCTGAAAGGCTCAGAGTTTTGTCAGATATTAAAAAAACAATATGATAGAGACTGAAATTGTGTACTTCAACTTCCATGCAAAGGATTTGATTTAAAAAAAACATACTTGGTGTGAAAATGTGTGGTCCTTTATGTAAAATTGTGGAGAAGGGGAAATTGGTCACACAGCTGGTGAATGCACAATGCGCTTTCAGTAAAACAACTGGTAAAGAATGCAGCCACAACAAAGAGTGTAGGGTTTGGGTGAGGATGAAAAGTTTTTGAGAATTTTACCAGTTATTTATGGGCAATGTAAAGCAACACTCAAAACTGAGCTGCACAGAGAAGCTCTCAGCCACACTGTCTCAAAAAAGTGTGAGACATAAATGTGGCATGAAAATGTGTGGTCCTTCCTGCAAACTCTGACCCATTCGTACAGGTACACATATTTTGGAGAGAAGGGGAAATAGGCAACACAAAAGGAGAAAGAGCTGAGGAACCAAAGCCAGATTGCATCATAAATCTTCTCAGTCATTTAATTTAACTTCATATGAAATTTTAATCATAGATCAACTTTATCAGATCTGACACTGCAGTATGACATATGCTGGAAATGAAAGGACTGGAAATGGACAGGATTTTTGATTGTGTGCCCCATTTTGGAGTATGTACACTCTTAGTATGGATTTCATGCATTTTTTATAAATGAAACCATAAGAAACTAAGAAAAACAGATTAGAGATGGA